AAGGTTAGAAAACGATTGGAACTTATCTTGACATGCAGCACAGATCTCCAGTCAAAATTTGACTACTCTAGTCAGAAATTGATCAAAACTTCCATTGACAGTGAATTTTTTTTGGTTATAATATCGCGATAAATTCTACTTGTAGTAGTCAGGATGCGATTATAACGTGCATTGTCATCAGACACGAAGCTCTAATTAAGCTCAGAACCTGTTAACAAAGTTGAGCTCTGAACCAGTTAAAAAGTGGTCGAAATTTCAATTTCAAAATTCAACAGAAAATTATTTTTATTATTGAAACGTTATTAAATAAAAACTTCAACCCCTTTACGACTTATACTGCAAACTTCTAAAAAACCTTAACCCTTCAACGATAAGTTTTACATAAATACATTTTTCATTATTTTGTATTAATTTAGGTCAAAATGAGAAAAAAAAACTATATTTAGCATTTTAATTATTTATGGCCATAAAATACAACATGAAACACCGAATCTCTTTCGGCGTTTGAAGTTAAAATCGTCCAAACAATAATTTTTCAAATTTGTATTTATTTGCAGTTATTTATATCTATGAGATACTGCTATTCATCATTGAAATTTCTTTAATCTACAAAGTCAATTATAGATATATTTTTGAATTTGAATGAAAAAAAAATTCAAGCAGCTTTTTTGGATTTTATATTTTAATACAAATATCATTTCGATTATCTATCAGATTTTTTAGCAACTATTAAACTGTTCTTTTTTAACTAAAAAGTACCACAAAATGTATTTTTACTTGCGATTAGTGTGTCAGAAAAATATATCGATAAAAGGGACATCGGTCTCCCATCTGCGTCAAAGGTTTAACCCTTCTTTTCTTAATAGGGAGCTAAACTGTGGGAGGAACATATCATTGTAAATTCTGTTTCACTGACATTAGCAATATAAAATATAAAGTAAAGAAAATAGTGTGTACAGACTGACCAAGAGTTGGACATAAAGCTTCAAATGTCAAAAAAGTTCTCTCTTTCTGTCTCTCTCTTTTTATTTATTTATTTTTTTAAATATCAAAATGCAAATACATTATGGCGCAATTATACTGGATTAGAAAGTGAGAAAGTAACCTTGCCATAACTTGTTTACATTTTGATGTTTGAAAAACTTTTTTCTACATTTCAAGTTTCATGTATTATTTTAGGTTTATCAGAACTTGCCATGATTGCTTTCTCCCGCCTTTTAAGAGCTTAATGGCTTTATTTAAATTTATATTTTATGTTTTATTGTGTTAATGTATCAATCATTTTTGATCATTTTGGAATTAATTTTGATATACGAGTAGTCCTTCATTTCTTCTTGGTAACAGTGGAAATTTGCATAATATATCATCTCAGTCGCAACGGAGATTTAAATGAAACAATAAAAGTGGACTTGCTTTTAAACATTTTCTAATTAAAGAGTATAATGGGAGAACGTTAAATAACATTTGAGAAAACTAGATATTTCGAAATTGATTTGTTGTACTCGTAATTACATCAATAATAATGATTGAGGCAAAAGTTCTTTGACTGAATATATAGCTAAATACAAAAACACTCATTATTTTAAAATGTTTTTAATTACAAAAATAACAGTATAAGAATTTTGAAAAACAAATAAGGAAGTAAATATATTAATGAGTAAAAGGATGAAAAATGGTCCCTATCGGACAGATTTAAGAACATGTTGTACCTAGAACATATGAATATGTAACTTTACTGAGTACTTCTTTCACTTTCTTTCTTGATTGCATGAGCTAAGAACAAAGAAGACAAGAATATTACAAGCTCAACTACTGCAAACACAATAGCAACAGCAAAAATGGCGATTACATGTTCATTGACTGTTTCACGCAGTTGAGGATAACAGCCGGTCTGAAAAGCATCTGCTTTCTCGCACGTAGCATTTCCAGCACTGCCTTTACAGCAACTACCTGGAATTGGATAATTATGTGTTTCATAATCTGATGGACCATTAACACCACAACATTCTAATCGTGATTGCATTGCATTCCAAAATTTTAATGTATCATTTTGATGTTGTTTTAGACTTTCCTCCATGTTCTTTTTAAGAAAAGCTTCAGTCTTTTCTCTGTATAAGTATGCACCGATTCCACCACCAATCTCCAAAATCATTATAATAAATACCAGCAATGCAAACACCATGATCATTACATGATTATATTTGAGAGCACCGTAGAATCCAAAGAATGATACCAGAAACATTATACATCCTGCAACTATACAAATGATAGGCGCTGTTATATATTTGCTACCTAAGAAGTGCGTCATATCCTGTTTAGTGCCAAGAGCTCCAACTGTGATCATTGCAATTCCACAAATCACAAATATAACGTTGATTGCGATCAGTAAATATCTGGTAAGTTTAGCCCCAATGATCATTTTGGTATATTTTATTGAAGCAAAAATATGATCAAATTAAATCAGAACATTCAAACAAAGTTTTTAAGGCTAAAAAAACACGAATTTAAAAGCAGATAGGTAAAAATTTTTAGAACACCACGTGCAAGGCAATGTTTTTATGTTGTAATATTAAGCTTTTATTACTTTTTACTTTTGCGCGCCTCAATGTTTCACTTCGTACAAAAAANAAAAAAAAAAAAAAAAAAAAAAAAAAAAAAAGTGAGGAGGGGGAGATACCGTTTTAAACGCAAATTTAACAATGCGGGGAAAAATCACCTTTAATAACTATTTCCACGTATTAGGACTCAATCTTAATGGTTCGAGGGGGTGACCGCAAATATGCTCCTTTATTAGTGCAAAGACATTTTGAATTACGAAATCAGAAACAAAAGGTACTTTCTCTAAATGAACTTAATTTTTTTAACAGCGGAATCGAATTTCCGACCCTCGAAATGTAAGGTGTTGCTGCAATCACGGAAATATGGTCCCAATAGTTTGGTCAAGAGAGCTGTTGTAAGTTTGGACCCTTTAATGTTAATTTTACTTTTTGCGTATATGCCATATTTTGGAAATTTTTAAAACGATTCGAAAAATTTTTGCACAAAATAATTTCCACGCAAAAAATAATCTTTAATAAATATTTATTATTTTTTATTATTTCATTTAATAAGTGCTGAAAAATGTTGAATTTTAAATTCAAAATTTGAATGAAATCAGTTGTATAGTTGCTGAGAAACTGAACTTGAAGTTTGAAGTTGTATACTTTAAATTCGATTTCTCGGGGATTCGACGGATTCTGCTCAAATTTTGTATTTTGCCTTATAAAATTACATTCTTCAAAATGATAAAAAAATTTGTACATCTTTTCGATTCAATGTTTTTTACTATAATCATGTAAAATAATGAAAATAATAAATAACTATTAAAAATATTTCTTGCGTGGAATTATCTTAGTTTCAATGAATTTTATAATTGTGTGGAAAAGTTTTTCAATCCGCTTAAACACATTCCCAAGGTACGCCAAATACGCAAAAAGTAAAATTGAGGATTAAATTTTACTGGATTAAGGGAGCCAAATTTCGAACTGTTTTTTATTTTTATTTTTTATACTAAACTATTAGGGCCATATTTCCCAGATTGTGGCTGCCCCTATACTATTTAAGAGTAAGAAATCCAAATCTGGTGAGAAAATGGTATATTTATTCTGGGAAAGTATGTTTTTGCGTCTGCTTTTGAAATTCACCTGTACTAATTAATTAATTTAAGTTCACTCATTGAAGCATTGATTGAGACCTAGTACGTGAAGATCCGATTATTGGATCAAAATTTTTTCCGAGTGAATCTTTTTTATCTTTCAATTATTATTATTTATTTTTTTTGTGCACTGTACTTACTATTTGTATGGCGAAAGATCTGTATACCAGCACTCTCTTATCGGCTAACTATACTGAGTAGTCCAACAAAACTGCTGGCATTCAATAAAAAAAAAGAAATTGAAAGCTCCCAACATAGCTTATAACAAGTCCAAATACTGAAGAATCTCAAAAAATTGCATATACCCTCCTAGGGATGTCTAAACCACAGAGAAATACATAGTTTCTGCGCCAAAACTGCAATAGTCTAACCCAAACGGTTTTAGCGCCACGCAACGGCAAAAAGCTAACTATCAGCTAGATTGATGAATTAATGAGTTTATCGTTTTCTCTTAATTAAATTTATAAAGTTCGTTGTAATCGTTTGGTCATTTGTTTCATTTTAGTTCTATGAAATGCTCAGATGTTGATACGTTGAGGATGTCGTTTGTTAATGAAGACAACATATAATTTGGAAAGTAAATTACAATATATTTTAAATATTTTAATTTTTCGCCATTTTTGTTGTTCTTAAATTCATTTAAGTGAGGAATAAAATACACATTTACATGAATGGTATGTACCGTTACTCATTTTAAACTAAAAATTAAATTGTGAAAAGAGTTATTAAAGTAGACTTTTATTTTTATTTTCTCTGTTTGTAGTAGAATTTTTTTATAAAAGGGAATGAAATAATCAACAGTAAACAAAAATTTGATTAAAATATTTTTGCCTATTACAGAACTAAGATGTGAAATAAAATATTTGGATTTGATTAGAAAATGCTATATTTCTATATAAATACACAACATAAGAGTTTTTCGAAACACTGACATAAACTCAAGCAATTCAATAATTTTTATTGAAATGAAGCATAAAAACTCACCTTTAATACAATAAACAACAAAGAATTATGATTTATTCATTCATGCTACAAATATATTCGCACAGAACTAAATAAAAATATGACAGAGACATTTATAATATACCATAGAGTGTTCACCTCTACTGAATCAACTAAGTATCTCTGTTAAGTGTTGTTAGAGGGCGCTGTAGGCTGTTGGGCCAAGAGAAACTTCAAAAAACGCGTCGGGATGACGTCTGAGAGGATCGTACTTAAATATCTGTCATGGTCTAATCTAAAGTCACATTTTTTATCAGTCAACTAAAATTTTATCAATGATCAATCAGTTAATAGTAACAACCAATAGAAATAAGTTTCGTTTTAAAGTAAGAAACAACAACTGGCTGCCATTAATAACCACTATATTATTAATTTATTGAATTATAATAGCCAAGTGGTATAGTTCAGCCTCTGCTAGCTCGGATACTTCTCTAAGGAAAAGAAAACAAGCGACTAGGGACAGGACGATTCCATAATGCAAACGGACTTAGAAAATTTAGAAAGGGGAAAATGAGCTCGATATAGGGAAAACGTTGGTGGTGAGAGCTTTAGCCATTTAGCTTAGCAAAATATCGCCTTATTTTAGCGCCAACATTGAAAGTCAA